AACCAAATACAGAGACCTAACTTCAACAATAGGGGTGGGAACAGTGAACCCTGAATTAGGGAGTAGGTGCAAGAGAGAGAACCAGAGAGAAGAAAGCCCCTTAGAGGAACATTTACCAGTATAGAGATGCGGAAGCCTGGCTTAAGATCTATTTATTTATTGGAAATGTAGAGTTAGAGAAGGAGAGACAGAGATCTTTCAACTGTTGATTCAATCCACAAATGGCCACAACAGCCAGGCCAAACCCAGGAGCCAGCAGCTTCATCTGGGTCTCCCATGTGGGTGGCAGAGTCCCAAGCACTTGGGCTCTTCCACTGTTTTCCTATGTGCATTAGCAGGGAGCTGGATCAGACATGGAACAACCAGGACACAAACCAGTGCCAATATGTGATGCAAATATCCAGGCAGCAGTTTAACCCACTGCACCATAGCACCAGCCCCTGAACTCCTGCTCTTTCCAAAGCCTGAACCCTTCTCAAAAGCTATGACAAAAGTGATTGAAGAAAATTTAAGCAAAGGTAAATATATGAACTTTTGAGCTTTTTAGGGAGCTCACTCAGGCAGCAGTGTACCTAAAGAATTGAAAGAAACTAAAAAGCAGAATGGCCATTAGGTGGATGTCCCATTCGTTAACTGATGGAGAAGAGGGTTTGAACAAGAGTGTGGTAATGTGGCTGGAGAGGAAGGTGAGGCCAAAAGGGACAATCTGAAATGTGTGATGGACTCAGAGCAGGAGGAGTAAAAGATCTCTCTGGAACCTGAATTACCTGCTTTTGGTTCAGACAGACAACCACCAACATGGAAACTACCATGTTTAATTAGTTGCTCATCATATACTGAATATTATGAAATACAGCATGGATATGAGAAAATAGGAAATAAAATCATGTATATTGTCTGCAAGTAAGATCTGAAATTTGTTTTGCATCACTTTCCATGGTCATCTTCTGAAAGATCATCAAAACTTGGTACAAAGCTTTCTCTGGAGATTAGTAAGGTTATTGCTGTACATACAGAATTTTTCAGTGATTCATTTGGTTTTTATCTTTTGAATAAAATCATTCACTTCATGAAAGTTGTGTTTTACACAAAACCTTCAATGAAAAATTCATAGATTTTACATCACCTGAATGGAAATGAGTGTATTTTAAGGTTCAAGTTTTAGTTGACTTTTCTGAAGTTAAAGCAGTATGACTTAATCTGTTCTAATATGTATATGTACTCTCTGTTTTATAATTTTTTAATCTTGAGAAATAAATATATAAATATTATCTTGAAAAATTAGATTTTTCAATCTTGATTATATACAAAATTTATGCAAATTACAAATGTGTTTTCCAAGAAAATATCTAAGAAAGTAACACTTCACTGAATAATAAAAATGGGCCAAAAAATAGTATGGCCTTGTTTTGAAAAATGATTTGATACAAACTTGTTAAATCATGGGATAACAATAATGGAATTTTTTTAGAAATCTTGAAACACTAGAATACAGAATTGAGTTTAATTTTAGGAAGAATAAACTGAGTTTGACTAGTGAATAATGAATTTATGATATTCTTCATCCAAGTCCTTAAGCACACTGAAAACACAAATTTAAGGCCAGCACCACAGCTCAATAGGCTAATCCTCCACCTAGCGGCACCGACACACTGGGTTCTAGTCCCGGTCGGGGCGCCAGATTCTTTCCTGGTTGCCCCTCTTCCAGGCCAGCTCTCTGCTGTGGCCCAGGAAGACAGTGGAGGATGGCCCAAGTGCTTGGGCCCTGCACCCCATGGGAGACCAGGAGAAGCACCTGGCTCCTGCCATCGGATCAGCGCAGTGCGCTGGCCGCACCGTGCCAGCCATGGTGGCCACTGGAGGGTGAACCAACGGCAAAAGGAAGACCTTTCTCTCTGTATCTCTCTCTCACTGTCCACTCTGCCTGTCAAAAAAAAAAAAAAAAAAATTTAAGAAAGGTTAGAGAAATGAATGAATGGTCCTAAATTTTGACCATTATTTTACAAATTTATTTGTGTACCAGAAACCACAAAACTAAACAAATGTAGATATCTCAACCAACTAGGATCAACATACCCCAATTTCAAAGTTCATTTATGAGCAAGGAAATCTTAATTTGTAAACTTAAATTTAATTACTATAATGTCACAGACATATAATGGGATTATTAATCTAAATATACTCAAAATACATAGATATAGCTAAAATCTTGCTCTGTGAAATAACTAGCGTGTGTGGATATGTGTGAGTGGATGTCTGTACCTACTATGAATCTGTGCCTTATATTCAACTCCACTCCACTCCTAGTTCTCTCCTAGTAATAGTCGGTACACGCCTTGGCTCCTTCCCCTTTTTCCTGCCAGTGAGATCAAAGAAATATACATACAGTTTTGGCAGCAGAGAATATATCCTTGGCAGTATAATTATGAATAATCTAAGACTCCACAATTCAAAATGAATGTTAAAACTTAAAAATTGCTTTTATTTTTGGGATTTGCCAAACACAGCAATCATTTCCTAAGTGTGAGATAAAACATTGTATTTATTTTCTTTATAGCCATCCTTTGACTTACACTAACTATTGCATTAAAATATGCAGCTATATAATTTTATGTATTTCAGAGGTGTGATGAGACTTTCCGATCTCTGACTATCTGATGGACTCATGCAACAGAGTTCAGATTTTAAAAATAGAAGATATGTTAGTCTCTAGTGAAAATTTTCATGTAAAATCTACTCTTATTTTCATTTGAAATAGTTCCAGGATTATACCTTAACGTAATGAAATATCCAATTTTAGTAAACAATATTTTTTAAGTGGCAAAGTAAGGTTTACCATGGGATACAAACCTTTGTGAATTGAACATACACATTCTCAGTCTAAACATTGAATTAATGCAGTCCTTGTTACATGATTTCCTTTCTAACATCAACATTTTAAGCAGTAAAATACTCCAGAGACAATCTGGAATCGTAGACAGTGATAAAACCCAAACCTTTTCTTCATTCTCAGATCTCCTATCACCCCAATCTCCATATTCTGCCTTTACTTAGCATTAACATTCACTTCCCAAACAATTTACCCAAGTGAGGAAATGAGTGCACATGTTTATGTGCAAGGGGAAGGAACTGGTGGAGAAGGAGAGGCTGTGATATGGATGCAAGGATAATTGATTGAAGAATATCCCAGAGGACATGGGTAAGGATGCATTCCAGAGTCTACCGGATGAATGGACCTCATGGAGGAGGTGGTACTCTTCCTCCTCTGATATGGGAAAGTCCACAGAGGTTTGGTTTGATGAGAGATATGATGTCATGGGAATTTGCACCTGATAAGCTCTATTTTCTCTGCCAAATCTAAAACAGGGAGAATTTTAAGTACAGAGAGGAAGATGGATAGGGAAAATGTCTGATTCATACAGATACACCAGATAACAAGCTCATTAAACGTTGGTTGGTTAATTACATAGAATTTTTAAAAATTCCTGTTTTTGCACAGTGCAAATTCATTAACCCAAGGCTGATTCTGGGAGGAAGTTGTTAGTTTTCCTGTGAGGATTACAAAAGAACCATGGGTAGCAAATTCTCTGACTGTCACTAAACATGCATATTTTTAATAATGAGAAAGATGGGTGGGCAGTTCCTCCCGCAGTGGCCACCCTAGTGCTCTAGGGTCTGAATGCAAGATGCTGGTTAACTGAAATGTCACACATTGAAAATAAACAAACCTTTGGTTAATCATGGTGGACTAAAGAGCTTTGTATGTGAAAGGATAGGATGAAATGGAAGAAAGAATTGTGAAAGAATCAGAGGAAAGTGCTTAATATTTTTACTTTAAAATAGATGTGTTCTTTTCTGCTGTCCCAAAGCCATACCTTGTTTAAAGCAAGGCCAACAGAATCTGAATACTGACTTTAGAGATTTAGCAATTTTTCAACCAAAATCTGTTAAATTTCCACATTCTGTGTAAATATTCTCATTCATCTCCTACATATTACTTCTCCCTTCTCCAGTATCATGGTCTAAGTGACAGCTGGCAGCATGTTTTGTTCCCTCTTCTGGTACATATGTGTACATATATTAATGTGTACATATCTGGTACATATACTAATCTTGGACAAACTTCCCTAGTTTATAAGCAAGTATTTTTTTTAAGATTTATTTATTTATTTGAAAGACAGAGTGAGAGAGACAGAGGAAAGAGAATATTTCCCATCCATTCATTCACTCCCCAGATGGCCGCAATTGCCATGGCTGAGCCAGGCTGAAGCCATGATCCATGAATTCCATCTGGGTTTCCCAGGTAAATGGCAGGAACTCAGGTAGTTGGACCAAAATCTGCTCCAACCTAGGCACATTAACAAGGAGGTAGGTTGGAAGCATTGTAGCCAGACTCTAAGGGGAGCTTTGAAAAGGGATGCTGACGTCCCAAGTGGCAGATGAAGCCACTTCGCCAGAACACTCATCCCTGTAAACAATTTTTTGTGCAGGTTGATTGACCACACTGCAGAAGAGGAAGAACAGAATAAAGCATGTTCATGTATGGTGTATAATGTGATTCAGTTAATTCCTTTGCAAATCCATTTGCTGAAGTTTTGCAGAAGCAGACGACCTACAATGATGAACTTCATTGCATTGTAGCTGCTTATGACAAAAGTATCTCCAGTCCTCTAAATGAGACTGATGTGATAGATTTTGCAGGTATTTGAAGACATAGATGTACTAGAACAGCAAAGATTGGTGGGTTTTTTTGGAGGGGGATGGGGGAAGTGGGGAAAAACATCAGAATCCTACTCATGTGCTTAATGTTCTTCAAAAGAGAATGAGAGGAGAAATGACCTATGTCTTGCTTTCAACTGGAAATGTTCATTTTCCTTGATGTACAAAACGTCAGCGTATTTCAATACAGCGAAGAGAACCTTACAAAACAACAGTTTTCATTGGTCATCTAAACATAACTGGCTACATTATTACATTAATTTAATTGTTTTCTTTTTTAGGGTCCTCTGGGGCCTCCAGGACAAAAGGTAGAGTATTGTATAGGAGACTGTGAAAGTGATCATACCCCCCTTGCCCGAGGGCCAGCGAGCACGGTGATTGGTGCTAGCTACTGTAAGCCGTGCTGAAGCAGTTAGTCTGGTTTGTACATTCTGCTTGCTAATAATACAGTCATATCATGTGAGCATTGGGTTTCTAATTGACTCCATTATTACAAATTCAGTAAATCCATAGCGGACTCCTTAAGCTGTCTGTTAGCTCGAGGGTTATTGAATTTTTAACTCAAGTACTGGGAAAACATTGTGACCAAACTTAAAATGCAGAGGATCATAAGACATTGCAAATTGAACATGTGGCCTTGCTTAAATATATGGTTGCTAATGGCCGTGGAAATGACCAGAACAAAGGATCTGACTGTGGCTTGGTTCACTACATTCAAGCAACCCATTAGTGTCATCCTTTGCTGAGATAACCCGAAAAGCTACTTCCTGAATGTCGTTTCTATTTTATCCACATCAGTCATCAGAATTGCCTGATATATTCTGATAGAGAAGAGCTAGGATTCCTAAAATTATACCTGTGCTGTAATAGTAAATATGTCCATAGCAAATTGATGACCCTCTGCCAACCAAATGTCACTAAATCCCCATTCTCTCCTAATCTCCTACCCTACAAGGGGGTATCAGGGGATATTTAGCCTACATAAAACAATTGTATTCTAACAGGTGGAAAAGTGATTATTATTTATTTTTGGAATCCATCAAAGATGGAGACTTTTCATCCCCCAAGCACTGGGCATGTGGCATCTGTTGAAACCTAATACCACGAGCCAAGTAGAAGCCAGCAAGTTGTGAGACAACTTGTGTGTAGGAACACTTTGTCCCTTGCAATAATATCTCTATTAAGCAGGGTGTGAAATTGTAAAGCTACCCTAATCCACATTGGTCCAGGATAAAATTACTGCTTCAGGCTTCGGGAAGTCCTTTAATTGCCAGTCAGTACAATCACTGAACACAGTAAGGAACTCACTACCTCAATTTGTTTTGCATATAATTATTCCTTTTTTTTAGTAGACTGTTTTTAGAGCAATTTTAAGCTTATTGCTGCAACTTTTACAAAAACGTTTCCCCGTTATTATTTAAAGAAATTTAATATGCATCTACCGAGAAAAATCTGTTTTCTAGTTCTAGAGGAAGAATGAGTACATTGTATTTAAAAATGATTTCTCCAGAGCCTGAAAGGAGGTGTAAGGGAGGGAAATGACATCACTCCTTGAAAATATTGGCTAATGTTTCTTTCTGAATCCACTTAAATGTCAAATTTTCTCAGGTATTAGCTCAGGTAATTAGCTTTCTTATTCTCACTCCTTCTAGGTTCAGCCACTCCTAATTGCCCCATTGTATGTTCATGCACATGCATGTGCTCATACCACACATGCCCTGTAAAATCTTTGGTACACGTTTTCTTGTGCCTGGCTAGTATGTAACATTTGTGATGCCTTTCAATTCTGCTCTCCAAGACATAGGTGTATTCACACATTAGTAACTTAAACATACTCCCTGAAAGCCCAATGGGAAAACGCTTCAAATTCTGCCCACTGGGGTTTGCAAGGGTCCCTCATTTAGTTGTGGACAACAAGGTTGTTAGTTTAGTTACTTTTCATTTTATGGTATTTACACTCATGAAAGTCAAGAGTTGCTGCTACTGCTAGGCTTTTTCCAGATGGAACTAAACCTATTTATTTCTTCAAAACAGCAAAATATAGAGCTATGTGGCCTGCTGAAAGAAAAAAAATCTCAGTTTCTGATGTGAATTTATTTAAAATCATTTTAGGAATAAGTGTGTAGTTGAGAAATGAGTTGTGCTCTGTAGCTTCTGGGGAAGCTTGAGGAGTCTGCCTACATTATTACTATTTGAGCACAGTGGCTGAGATCTGAAAAACATCATCTCCCAGTTGTAATCATCTCCATTTACCCTGTTTTAGCAAGGTAAAATTGTGGCTGCCATAATTCATGCAATAGATTGAAATACTTTGTAAGACATTAATTTAATCTTATGTCTCCTTAGGGTTCAGTTGGAGCACCTGGAATTCCAGGAACAAATGGACAAAAGGTGAATTCAATGGAATACGGTATTTTTTTTAAAAAAAGGTTTTATTTTTATTTATTTATCTGAGAGGTAGAATTACAGACAGAGAGGGAGAGACAGAGAGAAAGGTCTTCCATCTGCTGGTTCACTCCCCAAATGGCTGCAACGGCTTGAGCTGGGCCAATCTGAAGCTAGGATATAGGAGCTTCTTCCAGGTCTCCCACACTGTTGCAGGGGCCCAAGCACTTGGGCCATCTTCCACTGCTTTCCTAGTCCATTAGTAGAGAGCTGGATCAGAAGTGGAGCAGCTGAGACATGAACCAGCATCCATGTGGGATGCCAGCCCCGCAGAGGCTTAGCCTAATGTGCTATAGCGCTGTCCCCAAAATACAGTATTTTAAAAAATAATTTAGAGAGCATTAAAATCACAAAATTATTCTGGTCAGTGATGTCAACGATAACTTTATGAGCTTATGTAAATGCTACATATACTTTTGAAATACAGGAAAACTACAGTGAAATGATCAAGTTAGTTTAATCTTTAAAAATGGATTAAAGAGGGTGCAGCTCACTTGGCTAATCCTCTGCCTGCGGCGCTGGTACCCCGGGTTCTAATCCCGGTTGGGGCGCTGGATTCTGTCCCGGTTGCTCCTCTTTCAATCCAGCTCTCTTATGTGGCCCAGGAAGGGAGTGGAGGATGGCCCAAGTGCTTGGGCCCTGCACCTGCATGGGAGACCATGGGGAAGCACCTGGCTCCTGGCTTTGGATTGGCACAGCGCACTGGCCGTAGCGGCCATTTTGGGGGTGAACCAACAGAAAAAAGAAGACCTTTCTCTGTCTCTCTCTCTCTTTCTCTCTCATATTGTCTAACTCTGCCTGTCAAAGAAAAAATTAAAAAATGGATTAAAGAAAAGAAATTCTTAGAAAATATTCCATTTTAAGTATTTAGGATGTATTACTTTTTGATGTTATGTATATGATACGGCCATGTCTTTCTCATAAATATACAGAGGATGGGGAAAGTGCTATGTTTAAAATCCATTGTGATGAACAAATGTGCTCTAGTTTATTTTAGCCTTGGTAAAAATCTTCTGGATTATTTCTTTAGTTAAGGAAAGATATTTTCGCAGAGGGAATCTATTAAAACCTTCTGAGTCCAGAAGCAAGATCATTTTACTGTGAAGCAAAATTAGGAGTCAAATAGGCTTGCCAAGCTCTGGTACTAAACTTTTATCGTTATTGTACTGCTAATAATGGGGGGGTGGGGGTGTAAAATAAAATTTTAAGAAAACACTGCAAGTCTTCATGCATGTGTCTATGCACATATGTACATTTACTCATGCAACATGCTTACTAATGGACACAGCATCTGCAGCATCTCATCGGTAAGTCTGGTATTCTCTGCTCCTCCGTGCCCCTGACCATTCGGGAACCTACACAGATACCAGGCAAGCCACTGTGGCATCCAACAGAGCCCAGGGCTAGGCCCATCTACCAGGAGCCAGGAAGCTGACATGGCACTTGGCCTGAGCTTGTGAAATCCTGTAACCCACCCATGAGCTTGTCTCCCCAGAGTGTTTTAAATTCATGAACCCTGAATCACGTTCCGAAATCCTAAGGATCCCAACTTTGACTGGGAGTAACCTCCTCAAGACCTTTTCCATTGTGTCTTCTCTATCAGTAAGAAATAAACAACCATAATATTAAACCTATCAGGTATCTAAGAGCAAGTATCTGCCACTTAGAGGCTATGTGAATTTCAACAAAGTCCTCAAGTCCTGTGGCCTCAGTCTGCTCATCTGTAAGAGGGGACAATAGCAGTTCCTAATTTCAGGGTCAACTTGAAGATTAAATGAGAAAATAATTGAAAGCCTTTACAATCATGTTTGTTTGATATTCTTATTAAATTCTCTACTTCATTTCTATGAAATTCAGACATTTTGCTTAATCTGTTTTAAAGGAGGCTATTTCCAGAATGAGCTCCCTCTCACCAAGGCTTATGGTCACCACAGCCCGCATGCTCATCAGTAGTTAACTGCCCGTGGTGAGGTCCCCTTCCCACTTAGGAAAATGGGTATCCATGTATCCCGTTGCTTCACAATCCTGGTAAAGACAGAAGATCTACTTTTTGTTTACAAAACTGCAGGTTATGGAGGAAAGCTTGTGCAAAAATTTGAAAGTGCATCCATTCTAGGATGGATTTTTACATTATATAACTCAAGATAATATTTTTTTAAAAAAGCAAATACAGATATAGCATAAATATAATTTTTAGCATTGATGAGAAAAAAACTTATATAAGATTAATTTTTCACTTTCATGTTTTTTTTCTTCAACTTTGAGACAATCATGAAAATTTATAGGAACCTATAACCTGAAACAAAACAACTTTAAAGCTGTCACATATACTCTTTCAGACACAACATATTCTTTATTTTTGAAAGGAAATATGTAATTTCCTTAGAAAGAAAAAGGAATGTGACATTTTCTTGTCCTAGTCACCAAGTTTAAATTATATTTCAAGGAAGCAGACAGTTAATATTTGCAGATTTGTGTCTTGTTATATGTATTTGTGCCATTTCTGAAAATATTTTCTATAAAATCTAGGGAAACTAAATGATTTAAGCTTTAATAAAAATATCAGCAAAATACAGTTTGTTTTTCATACTCCATAGAGCTAAACTGAAAACTGTGTATTATCATAGTCTTATTTAACATGGATAATATTTGTTATATCATTGATGCAAAAATAAAGTATAAAAAATCTGAGTCTCTTCACAGAGACAGAGGATCATCTAGACAATAGGAGGAAAGTTAAAGAGGCATAATGCTCTGGAGCACATACAATATTTTGAGTCTCTAGAATTTGTGGGGTTTTTTTTTTCTTTTTTTCATTTGATTTGAAAGGCAGAGGGAGGGGGCCGGCGCTGTGGCGCAGCGGGTTAATGCCCTGACCTGAAGCGCCGGCATCCCATTTGGCCACCGATTCAAAACCCAGCAGCTCTACTTCTGATCCAGCTCTCTGCTATGGCCTGGGATAGCAGTAGAAGACGGTCTAAGTCCTTGGGCCCCTGCACCTGCGTGGGAGACCCGGAGGAAGCTCCTGGCTCCTGGCTTCGGATTGGCGCAGCTCCGCCCCGTTGCAGCTAACTGGGGAGTGAACCAGCAGATGGAAGACCTCTCTCTCTGGGTCTCCTCTCTCTATGTAACTCTTTCAAATAAATAAATAAAACTTTAAAAAAAAAAAAGGCAGAGGGAGAATAAGGGAGAGAGAGAGATCTACTTTCCACTGATTCACTCCCCACCTCGGCTAGGCCTGGGCCAGACAAGCCAGAAGCCTGGAACTCAATCCAGGTCTCTCATGGGTAGCAGGGACTCAAGTTCTGGAGCCGTGATCTGCTGCCTCCCAGGATGTTCATTAGCAGGGAGCTGGATAAGAGGTGGAGTAGCCAAGACTCAAATCAGGCACTCTGATGAGGTATGTGAGCATTGCTAAAATTTGTTTTTCTGAGAAAAGAGCTTATAATGATATAATAAACTTTCCTATAAAAATGTTAATAGTCTTAAATAGTCTTGAGAAAACATTGTCTTCATTACAATGTCACTTTTTCCAAAGACATACTTTTGATGTTGAGAAAGTAGTTTTGTTTTCAGGCAATGGTTAAAGGGAGAATAATTTCTTTTTTTTTTTTTTCTTTTCAAAAAATTTTACTTCTTTATTATTTATTTGAAAGGCAGAGAGAGACTCATACACACAGAGACCTTCCATCTGCTGGTTCAGTCCCCAAATGCCTGCAACAGGTAGGGCTGGACCAGGCCAAAGCCAGGGGCCTAGAACTCACTTCAGGTTTCCCATGGGTGGCAGGGACCCAAGTACTTGGTCCATCACCCACTGTCTCCTAGGGTGAACATTAGTAGGAAGTTGGGATCTAAAGCAGAGCTGGAATTCAAATCCTGGAACCCTGATACGGGATGCAGGTATTCCAAGCAACATCTTTTTTTTTTTAAGATTTAGTTATTTGTTTGAAAGTCAAAGTTACACAGAGAGAGAAAGAGAGACAGAGATAAGTCTTCCATCCCCTGGTTCACTCCCCAATTGGTCGCAACAGCTGGAGCTATGCCAATCCAAAGCCAGGAGCCAGGAGTTTCTTCTGGGTCTTTCCACGTGGGTGCAGGGGCCCAAGGACTTGGGCTATCTTCTACTGCTTTCCCAGGCCATTAGCAGACAACTGGATTGGAAGTGAAGCAGCCGGGACTCAAACCGGTGCCCATATAGGATGCTGGCACTGCAGGTGGCAGTTTTACCTGATACACCACAGTTCTGGCCCCCCAAACATCTTAACCATTGCACCTTCCAGGCAGGATACAATTTCTAAGCCATTACAAATATGGCAAATAACACCTAGGAAAGAAAAAGTTTTTTCTCTTAAGTTTCATCAAAGAGAGAAAAATAAACCATTTTATGAAAATATGTTGTTTTCTGCTAAAGCATTTTTCATTCATTCAGATTGATGAAATTGGTGATTGGCCTTGAAAATAATGTTGAGATTTTTCAGGAGTAAAACCAAACTATATTATCTATGAATGCTAGGATTTTTCTGAGGCCCTGAGTCACAAGGATTCTTTCTGAAACAAAAGATAAATGTCAGGTGATTTTATTTCATGTATTTTTCAGATGCTTTTTAGAATGTATTGTTTTTAAACCTTTAAAATATAAATTAAAACTTGATATTAGTGTGTTATCTTTGACTCTATGTCATATAGCTATATTATTTTTAAGTAACATTAAATTTGAATTAGTTCATAGTTAGACTATTTGGAATTCCTTTTCATTTCTTACATGTGGATCTCACAGTTGACATTAATCTTCATAGCATACTTCTAATGGTTTTTTATTTCAAGTGTATTTAAAGGGCAGATATACTGAAGATTTCAGACTTCCAAAGGTCAAGTTGTTGATTCATGTCTATACAGTAGGCCACATAATCAACTCAATAATTTTTTTATTCCTCATTCACCTACTA